ATATTTCCTTCATTGAAACAACGAACGTCGCTCGAAATCATACTGTACAACTTCCTGGGCCGCTGGAATGTTAAGTTGAGACTGTGCAGCCCCTGGCATCCGTCACTCACTGTTTGTCCAAATGCTAAAAATCACTATTCTTTCCGCATTGGTTCTTAGAGTTTATTTCACGTACTACTGATTTTCGTTTATCTGTTGGATTTTTACTCAGCGCATAAGTGCTGGGGGGGGGGTCTGTTCAGTAGCTGTGTTTTCCGCAAATCAGAGTCGACTCTCCAGTCCAGAAAGACAAAACACAACCAAAGTACGGAATTGCATGAAAAGGCAAAATTCAGTTGACTGCACATCCTTCCAGCCACTAAGCCATGTTTCTTAGGTCGTTATAAACGTCGAAACGGTTAACTGGGGGAACAGCGGTAATCGCGGATGCCAGAATTCTGTATGCCTTAGAAACAGCATTTGATAAAGAAACAAATCATGGCTGCAAGTCCAAATGGAGGGATGAGGGTGCTAGTCTGCAATAACCCACAAAGAAATTGTGAAGCTGCATTCCAGAGTGACGGAGGGCGGGACGCAGAAACAGACATACGGATGGGCCAAATTAGCTGAGAAATGCAAAAGCCAAATCAGCATATGATTGTGGTAAAAGAGCCCCGCAGTAGTGTGAAGAAAACTTTTCACTCTGTCTTCCACTTTACCCTCAGGTATGATCATGAGTGCTAGAAATTGATCGAATGAGTCAGAGATCAGAAGATACAAACGTCAAAGGCGATGTTTCTTCGAAGGATCGCCGGAGCGACGATCACTGCAGTTATTCGAAATGCTGTCGTTTGTGAACCGCTCCTTCAACATGCCAAGAGCGTTTGTAATTGCCAGGGTTTTAACAAGTTGCGAGAATGCTACAGGAGGGTCATGATATACATTCATTTGGCAAACCCTGAAGGAAAACCACTTTTCGCAGGGTACACTCAATATGAATCTATCATATAGAAGACCTAGCATCACCGCATATTGTAGTCCAGGTCATGAACGGACGATCGCCAAAATTTGCCTAGCAAATGGCTCAGCAGGACAAATAGAAACAGCTGCATTTGATACCTAAAATTAATAAAGGAATATTTCAAAGTACGGTGAAAAAAATGATGAAGCTTTCAACAGTGGATGGCGATTCATAACCTGAGCACGAAAACTGTATAAAAGCATGGTCCATTCGTACACAACCGAAACAAATAGGTCATTCGGTTAATGAACCTGTACAGACGTTTCAACTCCTGTCTCCCGGGCCTTCTTCAAGATGGTCAGGGTTGATTTCCGACGTCCGCAGCTGCTGTAACGCTTGGCCAAAAGGTGAGCTCATGGTGAAACTTTTCGGCAACAGACTTGACGAGGTTTGTCTAATCCGGGCGAAGTTCATATCTCTTGCCCCAGTTGACATTTTCGCAGGATTTGATAACTGATGCCTCTTTGATGAGATTGTTCAGCCAGTTTCTTCATTGAATGATGCCGATGCAATTTGACCGTTCGGGAGCGTGACCTTACTCTGCTGCGTGT